ACACAGAATGAGGACCCTCAGATCAAAGCAGAGACCAGAACTGACTCCTAGCAAATTGGAAGGAATCAATTACAATACCTCGGCAGGACCTTTGATTTCCGTTTTTTATCAACAGAGGCCAAAAGAAAAACACAGGGACATGTGGTTTTGCTATCAACCCTAAAAAGCAAACAAACTCACCTAGAGAAAAAAACAAAACCTTTGCTAGCTGAGCAAGTTCCAGCCACAGGATCATACCCCCACCCCCACACCACTACACCTCTGTGTTCCAAGCAAACAACGTGGGATGAAGGCCCAAGGCAGCCAGAAAAGCTAGTTTTAAAACGAAGTAAAAATGGACGGGGGGCTAGGCTCTCTGGGGCTTCCAAACATGTTCATGGCCCTTCTTTGCAAAGGGAAAACTTGAGAAAGGCCTTTGCTGTCACAGAGAGAGCCATCGGGATGATTGTCCATCCCCAGCTCTATCCTATTGGCTGTGACTGACCAAGACACCTGCATAAGACAGATGGGCAGACATCCAAAAGGCCAGTTATAGAACATCAAGGTTTGTTTTTACACAGATATTTTAAATGCACACATGCCCAGACCCATCCGCGGCTGCTAACGTTAGTGGATTACTCATTCTTCCTTCCAATCACGTCATGTGCAGGGTTCCAGGTGGCTGTGGGGTATTTGCTTACTACGGCTACCTCTGGTTTCCCTGAGAGCTATTTATTTTTCCAGGCCTCAGGTCATTACATCACCCCGTGGTTTCTGGGCAGACCAAGAGTGCTGGTTTGGGGGTAGGGGAATCAGCCAGGAGATGCCGTTGCCTCAGTGACCCCCAAACCCAATCACAGCAGCAGTTCAGGCAGGCACTTCCCCGGCAAAGGAGGAACAATCCAAGTGCAGTCAAAGGGGCCCGAAGCAGGCCCGGGAGAGCTGTGCTCTTACTGCGGGCTGGGAAGGGCAGGACCTTGCGGGCGGCCGTGCTGTGTGGCATGGGTGGGAAGTTTGGCAAACTCCCTCATGTACGAAGGGACAGGGGGCCATTTTCTGGGCAGAACTTATAAGAAATGCATTTCCACCTGCAACCCAGCTGACGGCTGTGTCTGGGGACAGTCACCACAGGCTGCTGTGCAGGTTTGCTGGGCACAAAGGCAGGAAGGAAAGACATGGTCTCTTGATTTAACCCAGAGGGCTAGCTTCTAAGGCCTTCTTGAAGTCTCAGATTAGGTCATGAAAGAAGTTAACTAGAAAAGATGGAGATAAAGGAAAGAATGAGATGGAGAAGGAGAAAGAGAAGTTAAATGACGTGATCTGAGGCCACAGGAGTCAACCTCTGGGTCCTGGGACCAAGGGAAGACGCCTTTGTGCCTTGAGAGGGTTGCCGAGCTGCGCAGAGGGAAGGATGAAGGCTCAAGGGACCATATTTCCTGAGAAAGTATTTTCCCAGAGCAGAAAACACATACTTTTGTCATTCAAAAAAAGAAGGAGGAGAAGAAGGAGGAGGAGGAGAAGGAGAAGGAGAAAGAAAAGACTTTCATAAATCACAGTCATAGGCAAGTGTCCACAAATAGTAAAATTAGAAGCAGTGGGATATGGGATGAAGGATGAGGTGATGCCTAGTTTTTGTCATTTCTTTAATTTCTCTACTCTATTCTATAAAACGTAGAGGACTTTTAAAAATTGTTTAAATTCTAGCTATATTAAGAAGTTCCTTGGTAGCAAACCCCCGAAACAAAAAACTCAGCAAGAGTTCATACCTTCTTATAAAAGCCCAACAGAATCTCTGGCCAACATTTACGCACGGGGAGATGCCCACTCTCAAGTTCTAGGTGCTAGCTGGCCAGCTACATGGGCTTCCTAAGTGCAAGAACTCCCAGTGTAAGAATCAGAGAGAAGTCCAATGAGGCAAACCTGTCAACGCTGAACCTACCAAGTACTCAAAAGGCAGCACTGACCATGGTGAACATATGACAAAGCCTTAAAAACAAGGACCAAAAACTCCAGGAGGAGCGCAGGAGACAGAATCAGCCTGCAGGCATATGTGTCATGTTATTGCAAAACTTCGGCTGCCCAGTGGAACCTTTCCAACATCAACAGTCCCCAGGCCAGAAAACAAACCTGGCGTCTGTGGGTCTGAGTGTGAAAGAAGAACATTTGGGGTGTAAAAGAAACTGGGATGGCCTCTTTGCCTCTGAGACAGAGAACTGAGAAAAGAACGCTCACTAAGTCAGTTCTGACTCCCAGAACTTTTCGGCAAACTCTAGTGGGGAACTGTCTCTGTCTCAGGGGCTGGACCCAGAAGTTCCAGTCCATGTCAGAGCCAGCTGCCCAGCGTCAAGCTATCCTTTAAGTATATCTGACTTCTCATCAAACCAAAGGCGATCATCTGAAAAGTGGTTAACAAAATACATAAAGATGTTTCATCAAGAGTAGCTATAGCTTTGGTATCTCCCCCAACGTCCTGTCCTTTACACTAACCTCACAGACATAACTGGGGCCAACCAGGGAAAATTAAACATGGTTCGGTCACTCTAACAAAAGGAAGGTGATTATACTAGCCTAGGAATTACTTCTCAATGTGACATCATACTCATCCAATTAAAAACCACATAGATGTAGGAACGGAAAGCAGAACTCAGTGGAAGCAAATGCATCAGCTAACTTGACATTGCCACTTTACCACCTGCAGAGAATATAGCTCAGGAAGACAGGCTCTCTGTTCCCAAGCATGTGTGGTTTTCTCCAGCCTCACCGCTTACTAGCTGTGACTCACGACAAGTTACTTTCTCTCTCTGTGCCTCTGAGTCTTCATCTGTAAGGTGGGGACAATAACAACACATCACATAGGATAACGGTAAAGCTCAAAGGAAGTAACACATGTGAAGGCCTACAGGACCTGACCCAGATGAGCTGTGATGACAGCAATGATTCTGATTTTACTGAGGATGATGACTTTTCTTCCATCCTTCCCCAGAGCAGTCAATCACAATGAGCTAGATTCTAGAGTAGATATTCTTGACAGCCAATAAAGCCCTTGTCCTCACAGGTTCTAGGTAGAAAAATTAACCACCTGTGCCCTGGCTGGTGTGGCTCAGCAGACTAAGTGCCAACCTGTGAACCAAAGGGTCACTTGTTCGATTCCCAGTCAGGGCACATGCCTGGGTTGTGGGCCAGGTCCCCAATAGGGGGCACACGAGAGGCAACCACACACTGATCTTTCTCTCCCTCCCTCTCTCCCTCCCTCCCTTCTCTTAAAATAAATAAAATCTTTTTTAAAAGAAAAAAAATTAACCACTTGTATATAAAACTGAAGCAATTCATGGAAGCAATTGTTAAATGTCAAATGAGTGTTCCAGGTAAAAGGTGCTGTATAATTTCAGAGATAGCACACCCTCATACTGACCACTTGGTCACTGAATTAAACCTCACACTGGGCTTTGCAGCTCTGCAGGGGGCTCAGGGACAGGGGAGGCCACTTGCAGATGTCACTTCCAGGTACCACAAGCACCAGAACCACTTCTCTTTGACTTATGGTATTTGCCTGACTGTGAGGGGTAAGTGGAGAAGATTCTAAGTCTTGTAGAAGCTTCCTACCAGATGCTTTTGCCTCAGGTGGCAATCACAAATTCTCTCCTGATTGAAGAATCTCACTACAAGCAGCATCTTCCCCTTTTTTCTTACCAATAATGGTGATAATAACAAATACATGTACATAAAATTCATCATGCACTTACTATATATCCTTTAGCCAGGCATCAGTTAAGTATCATACAGATATGAACTCAGTTAACCTTTAACCACAGTCCTTTGAGGGAGAGATCATGATCCCAGATGAGAACTGAGGCTCATGGGGATTATTTGACTTGGCTGGGCCACTCACTAAGTGTTGGAGCCAAAAAGTGAACCCAGATTCCACTGATTCCAAAGCCTTTACTTTAGCCACAGACCTGTTTTACCAAAGAATCTGACCCATGGGAGTTCACATGGTCTCCTTCCCACACACCACCCCGTAGCTCCTTCCGCTTTTATCGAACAGGGAACCAGGCACATGCTGAGGCCCACCCAAGTCACAGAGGAATCAACGGATGCTTCATGGATTTTTCTTGTAGTCTAACTCACTCCATGAATGCTGGTCCTCACACTATCACACTACCTGCTGCATTTGGGACAGAGCTAAAGGGCCAAGGACAACATGCTCATGATTTACTGACCATGGAAAACTCTATCTGCCAGCTGAAAGCAATGTATCTTTTGTTTGTAATCCTTGCTATATACAAGGAAAAGATGGTATGGCTGAATTCCACTACTAGGCAAAATTATATACCCAGTGGCATTTCTCACAATAAAGCCTTAGGCTGAAAGAAGAATGATTTCTCCCTGACAGGGATACACATTAGGTCTATGCATACATTTCCTATTGATGAACATCTGGTCTTTATTGATGGTAAATAAATTTTATTGATTTTGGTCTTCAAAAATGATGGTAAGTGAACTCTACAAATCTAATCATTCTTCAAAAATGATGGTAAGTGAACTCTACAAATCTAATCATTCTTCAAAAATTGTCACCTTTCTACAAGGGATTCAGCCAATACCAAACGTGACCACTCACAAGATCCTCAAAAGATCAGACTAATAGAGATATGACCATAAGCATCTATTCAGATCCTTAAAAACACATAGAACCACAGCTCTTGAGGCTTGAAGTCCAACCGTTCTATGGCTAACCATTCTTCTTTCAAATACAGAAGGTTGATTAAAATGCTAAAACAGAGCCAAAAGGGTTTGTTTATTTTTAAGCTGAAAGTATCAACTACTCATGCAAGATGATCCCTGAGATAATAATTCAAGACAGTTAAAGTTGGAAGGGATTAACTCATCTCATCTCATTCTACAGCTGTAGAAATGGAAGACCAGACAGGTTAGTAACTTGCACAAACCCACACAGTAGGTGGTCATGGGGTAGGGCAACCATGACCAGGTAAGTGTATAATCCAAGGCAGATTATTTACCTGAATTTCTTACATTGGTGTTGTTCAGTTTGGAGTCCTTGATTACCAAGTGCTTAATCCAAAGAGTGGGAGCTGTGATTTCTGGGGGAAAAAAAAGAGAGAGAGTAGCATGTAAATTGGAGTGTAACCCTCCAGACTTTTTAATACCTTTTTTTAAGCCTGAAGCATAGAGGCTTGACTATCTGCCTCATCTCCACTTTGTCCCCAGACCTCTCCCTCCCTCACAACGGAAGCTCCTCTCCCTGTCAGCTTATAGAAGCCAAGCAGGGTCTCCTGTTCCGGGAGGCAGAGTGGTCAGAGTCCAGAGGCGCTGAGCCACTCCATCCAGGAATAAAAATATTATCCCAGGAGGTGAGGAACATGGGCCAAGCCAAGTCTCTCTCAGCTGCCTCCCTGGAAGAATTTAAAGGGAATGAATCAACAAATGAATGCCAAACAAACCACAAGGACCATTTTGGAGGAAACAGTTGAGCCACAACAGATTTTAGGTGCTGAGACTCTGCTACAAGTGGGAAAGAGAGTAAAGGCTCTAACGTGTACTTCAGTGCCCTATCCAATGGCTCCTCATTGAACAGAGGCTGACTTCCATTCAGAGAGCACTGGGGTGCTTCTAGGCCCCTCAGGGCTTGAGTTATTCAGTGGACAGGTGGTGTGGGAATCCAGGATGACCCCAAATGCCCTGTAAAGTGACAAGATCTTCAGTGTGGCTATTGGGGAGGTCTCCCAAGTTGGTGTGGTCTCTATTCCCCACCCAAGCCCCCATGGTCCCAGACTTGCCAATGATGAAGGGCCTTTGTGGAACACAGAACCATGCGAACTTCTGGGCACAACTCACGTGTCCCACTAAATGATCGGTTACAAAGGATAGCTCACATTTCAACTCCTCTACCTAAAGCTGAGTCTGCTAGGGACATCTCTCGTCACAGTACCAAAGAGTGGCATGATTTCTTTTTATCCGTCTGTATCACTGCCCAGTCTCATGATCAGTCTGGATACACTTGGCGGAAAGCTGCTAAAAGGTTGCTGTATACGACACTAAGAGTTGTACCTGGCTGTCAGACATGGCACTATGCCAGGCTTCCCGCTCTTCCTCATGGGAGCCTGGAGTACTCAGCAAAGCACCCTGAAGAATATAGGCCCTGGGCACCTCAAACTCAAACTGAGGCCAGCCTTCTGCACCCCAAGCTTCTCCTGAACATTCCTTATACCCCTGGGGATATCCACCCTCTATTTTGCCACCAGCCACCACTATATCTCTTGACCTAGAATGTTTCCTTTCCCAGATGTCTTAACTCAACTCTCAAGGTCCCTACAACTGAATCAAAGCAGCTCCACTAACCTGTTTCTTTCCTGCTACTCTCCTTATGACCCCCATCCCCATACTCACCCCTTGTCCGTGCCAGCCTCCCTGCCTGGAATGCCCTAATTCCTCCTCCCCACTTTCACGGTCCAGCTCAAATCCCACCCATCTCCTCACAGCATCTTTCCCCAGACCATTGTGATCTCTTTCTTCCACAAATTTCTGCTACAATAACCACTGCGACCTATAATTTAACACATAAAGCTTTCCAGCAGTCGCTGCTGCCTTTAGAGTAAAGGCTTCATCTTGTCTGTTTCTCCTTCATCCCCCAGAGGCCTGACACGAAGCCGGGCACAGAGCAGGCGCTTCTACGTGCTGGCTCATTTACTAAGGGACAATGCTGGCCTGCCTGTCTCTCTCAGCCGCGGCTCCTCAATCCAGGGTGTGTTATTGTTGGATGTCAGCCGCTGGGCAGGAAGCCTGGCAAGGACGGAAGGCCCTTCCAGAAGTGGAGAGTGTACCAGTTCCTGGGAGGGTTTGCATTTTTTAAAAGGTTAAAACAACCCAGCTTAAACTGGAACAAATTAAAATTTAAAAGGAGAAAATAATACTAATAAAGCTTAAACAAACATCCGAAGGAAAGACCTACCTTCCCCAAATCTGAACACGGGTGGGGGAATGTGAGTCGGAAGTAATGCCAGATCTTACCGTCCCCGTCGAACACTGGCTGCGTCTCCATCGTGGGCGTCGGCTTAGACCCGTCGTCTGAATTGAGGGTTAAAAAGAAGCGAAAAGAGACTACCATTATTGAGGTAAATACTATCTACTCTCCAGCACTGTTGAATGGTTTGGGTTTGCACATGGCCCGGCCAAGTCCCAATGAAGAAACCAGAGAGAAGGAAGAGAAAGGAGAAAAGAAAAAGAAGGAAAAGAGAACCACAGAGAGCCACCGCCAGTAAGACAAATCCAGGCGTGTGCTTGCCTGTTCAAGGGGGGCACAGAGGGAGCGAGGGAGTGATGGCTTCGGAGGACCCTTCCTCACAGATCTGAGTTCCTCACTCCTCCCCACAGGAAAGCCGGGAGGGCTGTCTTCCCCAGCAGCCCTGAGTTTGGGCCACACACGATGAGATAAGGACATCACACACTCTAGCATCAAATTCTGGTGTCCCCAGTTTCTTCCTGCCCTCTTGTGTACGGTAGCAGCCAGTACCTTTCCAGGGGTCCTCATTAAAGAGCTTAAGGAAAACAGGAGACTGTGGTGCTGTTCCCTCCCAACTTTCCAGCTCTGTCTCCATAGGGAAGACAGACAATAATACTGTAATAGCTCGGTATGGTGTCAGGTGGGAACTAGACTTACCGGAGTGATCACTTTGCAAGTTACGTAAACATCTACTTAATGTTGTATACCCGAAATGAATATAATATTGTATGTCAATTGTAATTGAAAAGCTAAAATGAATAAATAAATAAAATGTGAAAATTAAAAAGAAGAGAAGGTAGGAAGACCATTCTCTCTCCAGCACGCTAAACTGACGAGATCGGGAACCCTGGGAAACGGCATGTACCACAATTCCCTGTGAGAGGTGGGGGCAAACAACATGGGAGGGGACGTGGGAAACTGCACCCCAGATTTGCTTTCCAATGTCCAACACAGGCGATGGACGCAGGGAGCTGTCAGTGACACAGTGCTGACACTCACCGTCCTAGCAGTGCTGGTGGCTCTCTCTGCAGAGAAGAACCTCTGCAGGCCAGGAGTGAGTGCAGACTCTACTTACCTTTCAGGACTCCGTTATTTTAATCAAAAGAAAACCTTAGTTTACAGTAGACTTTTTCAACTTTTTTTTCATTATTTCCCACCTCAGAAGCATTTTTAGACATTTTTCTCCTAATCGCCTTCCTAATAAAACAGATACCTTCTATGTACTGTATGTACATGTGTGCTTTATATGTAGAGAGTATGCCTCCCACCCCCACCACCAGTGTCTGCCTCCTTGGTGAGAGCTGGGAGCAGGTATCTTTGCCACCAGGGGGAAGGCATAGTTTAGAGAATTCTCTGTTTTCTCCCTCAGTGTGGGGAGAGAAGGAGGGCCTGTGGTCTCAGGCATTTTTAAGATTCCACCATCTCACTCTTCCCCAAGGCCCCCAGAAGTCTTTTAGAACTGAATACTTTATTCTCCAACTATTAGCTATTTATGGAGAATACAAGTTCTCAGACCTTCTCTGCAAAGCCAGTCAGATCATCAATAATAACCACCACCGTGCACCATGAGGAGCTCCTAGGACCTTTGGCTGACTTCCTGCATCTTCTTGAGAGAGTGAAAAAGAATGCGGAGTCCTGACCCTTTCTTACACCAACACCCGACCCTTGAGAGCTTAAGGCTGGAGAGCTATGCAGACCCTGACCCTTGCTGGAGGCGGGGGCCAACACCCCGACAGGCGTGTGACACCTGACCCTGCTGCTATTCTCATGTGCTGACACCACGACCAAGCTTCCACAAGGGCCAAGGCGATCCTGAACTACCTGATAATCATCCCAAGGGATAACATGCAGCAGGAAGAGAGGAGTAACGAATCATGCTGGGTACATTATTTGCCTCAGACTGGAGTCCGGAATAGACACCTTTGATGCCAAACTGGCCAAGTTTGGTCTGGAAGTCATTGAGGGAGAATAAACACAGAGCAGAGCCACACAATGTCATTTTTTAATAGCATCACTTCCCCTGACCCTATTAACACCTCTTTCCATTGAATTCAGCGAGCCACTGAGTGAAGTCTCTTGGCAGCTGCAGTACACATTTGGTTGCTCCTTCGGGATGCAGAGTTCAGAGTGTAAATAGCCCAGCACAGTGTGCTCAGCGCCTTCGCACAGAGCGGAGGGGAGTCTTAAGGGTAACGAAGGGAAGGTGAGAATCAAGCATTGCCAGAGGGGCAACTCTGGGTGAGAACCCAAGTGGAAAATGGCTTATGTAATATTTTAATATTCAATTAAAATCTACCCATATTCCAAGAGATGTTTCTCTCTGGAGCAGGACAACAGAATGCATTCTGTTTGTTTCTCCCATCATCCAGGTGAGCGTCTGGGACTGCCCATGTGGTCCGGCGGTCAGAAAATACTGCCTGCTGCTCGGAGAGAGGAAGAAGGGCTTCCAGCCCCCCAGGGAAGGTTTGCGCTTCTGCAGGCTGAGGACCTCCTCGATTGCCCAGATTCAGGCCCAGAGCCTACAGAGCATGAAGCCACGTGCAGGGAGCGAATCCGATCTTCCTGCAGGGTAGGGTCACCGAGGGTGAAGAGATACAGCTGCGCTGCCGCAGGGAGGTCCGAGATGGAAATCTTTATGAAGTGAGAAAAGACAAGGTGCCCTGCTGCCAGGAGAGCCACCTGTGAAACCCAACGTGCCCAAAGGATGGAAAGCCAAGCCAAAGCCAACACGACCCTCTGACCATCATCTCCGGGCACCTGGGCACCTGGCTTCCAAATCAGCAAACAAGCTCTCTCTTCCACCACATAGGTCCAAGGCCTGGGTCCAAGGCCCACATCAGTTCTGCCTTCTGGCACGCCTTGCGGCAACACCAGGCCCCACATTGGGCCCTGGGGAGAGAGAAAAGCTTCCACATGTGCTCTGGCCTCCCAGCCTCCAAAGGGGCCACGCTCCAGACCCAGGCATTACATGCAGTAGGTTGGTAACCTGATCCCCTCACTTTTCTCCTCTGGGCGGTGACATCCTCTTCTAAAAATGAAGGTTGCCCACCTCCCCAGCCTCAGGACACTGTGCAGGAGAAAAAGACTTTAAAGGCCTTTTGAAGGAGGTATAATAGTACTAAAACGGTCTTTCTCCAGGTTACTTTTAAAATTGGATTTGTAAAATTAAAATCTTACCGAAATCTTTAAGTTAAAAAATAAAGTGATCTTACAACTCAATAAGACAAAAAACCTGATTTTAAAATGGGAAAACTATTTTAATAGACATTTCACCAAAGAAGATGCACAGACAGCTACTAAATATAACACATGAAAAGATGCTCAAAGTTATTAGTTATTAGGAAAACGCAAATTAACACCACAGCGAGGTACCACTACATACCTACTAGAATGGCTAAAAAAATTTTTTAGTCAAAAACAGAGTGTGGGCATGGATGTGAAGAAACTGAAACCCACATTCACTGCTGATGGGAATGTACCCACTTTGGAAGAGTCGCAATTTCTTTAAAACCTTAAACATAAACTTACCATTCAACCCAAAAATTCCACTGCTGAGAATCTATCCAAGAAAACTAAAAACATGTCCACCTAAAAGCATGTTTACAAATATTCGCAGCAGTATTATTTCCAGCCTCAAACTGGTAACAAATGTTTGTCAACTGGTTAATAGATAAACAAATTGTGATATCTCCATATAAAGAAATATTATTCAGCAGTTAAGAGGAATGAATTACTAATACCTGTGGCAATGTAGATGAAACTCAAAAACATTATACTAAATGAAAGAAGCCATGTGCAAATACTATATATTGTACAAGTCCATTTATATGAAGTGCCTAGTAGAGATAAATCTATAGAGACAAAGCAGACCCATAGTTGCCTCAGGCTGGGGGTGAGTGTGGGGTTTACCTATAAATGGGTACCAGGTTTCTTTTGGAGGGTGATGGAACTGATCTCTGGTATTGGTTGCACAACTCTAGAAATGTACTAAATTCATTGAATTGTACATTGACAATGAGTACCGGTAACTTTCCTGGTATGTAACTATACTTCAAAAGGGGAGATAGAGTCAAAGTCATCACAGAGAAATCAGGCAGTAGCAGCCAGATGATCTGAACAATTCTTGATTTGGGAGGAGACTTTTTCATGTATTTTAAAGAAAAATATATCTGAATCTCAGTTTACATATATGAACATGATAATTTGATGCCTAACATTTATTCTTGGTGATTCTTTTGGACCTCAAATAATAAGACCTTATTTCTCTTTGATATAGCATAACATGCTTCTAGTCTAGACCAAGGAGAAGAGAATAGAACACTGAAACAAAGCCAACAGAAATTTTTCACTTTTCTTACAGGAAGAAAAAAGTAAATTTGGGAACATTAAAGAAATAAATAAGGCAAACTTGAAAGAATTCCTCGAGGATGATGTCAAGATCAACAACAACAATAATATTACCACATTTGGTAGCAAAGGTTCTGGCAGGTGGCTTTGCTCATCTATTCTCACCACCACGCAGGGCAGGGCGGAGGAAGTCACCAGGCCGATCAAAAGAGACCTAGCCCCAGTAAGAATGCGATTTGCTCAAGGCCCCAGAGGCAGTGAGCAGCCTTGGAAACTGCCCAGACCCATCGCCGGGGGAGTTTGGCCTTCCAAAATCCCCAACCCCCAATCTTGCCTCCTTGCAGGTGCAGCCCCAGAAAGTTGCAGCCCCCGCACAGGCTCTGGGAGCCTATACAGACAGCGGGTTTGTGTGACAGCACAATTCCTTGCCCTGCGAGAAGGCCTGGCCCACGCACAGACAGCTGGAAGTCACTTCGACCCCTGATGACACCGTTCAAAGCCGCCTCTGTTTGGCTTTTTGATTCCTGATTGACATTCGCTGGCGAGTGGAGATAAATGCTGGGCCGAGGACAATGTTGATCCGCTCTGACTATTCTCGGGAAAAGACTTTTCAGAATAACAAACAAAACAAAACAAAACCCAAAAACATTCGTGTGCTTTAGGGACTGAATAGAGCCCAAGAGGTCCAGGGAAGCAGGGCCGGGCCTTTCAAGGGTCTGGCAAGTCCATTGAGGAGTTAATTGTTTGGGTG